AATTAAAATAATTGGCTCAATATGTCAGCCAAGCAACTCACCTTTTCAGAAGCGTATGTCAGCAATGACAGTCTCCATATTCTCTTAGTACAGATTTCAACTATTCACTAGATTGGAATTAACTGACTTAAGCTATCATCCTATTTGCTTTGGGACACTATGAAATGCTGTTGTACTTTATTCATGCTCCAGCTTAAAGCAATGGGAAACTGAAAATGCTCCCTTGCAATGGGTCTGTGCTCGCACTGCAAGGTTTAACTGCTCATTTAGGTGTAGGGATGGAAATAAAAGGTTTACTTACTTGATCATCCATTCTTCTGTGCTACTAAGCTGGTCCCCATAACATCTTCTTACCCATGCTCCAGCAGTCTAGGGTCCTGATGTCATCAAGACCAATGCAGAGTCCTTAGTTCTGCATTGAATGTGATGATGCTGAGGGACAGTCCACCACTGGAGCTCCATCTGCCAGTGGAGCAGAGGATCAGGTAAGTAAATGTGCTTTTAGTCCCCTCTAGAATAAACTAGCAAGTAACCCTTGGGTGCAGCCCCACTGCAAGTAGGTATTTTCAGATTTGTTTCGAACGTTATCTAAAGTGCAATGATAATGTGCCACAAACCCAAACACCCAATAAGGTTGCACTTTACATAGGAGATTTTGCTTGGCTACTATGGGTCATTACATGTTGTATGTCCAGATTATCATTGTTCCTTGCATTAATTTATAGAATAAGCTCAAATGTCCATCCAAAACTGGTCTTTAGCCCACACAAATGTCATGGTGCTCCAGAAGGAGGGAGTGAACCTTGCACTGTCTGCTAAAGCTTTCTATGAGACCCATTTCTGCATTGGCTGTTGTAATGCAATGTTGTAAAGGGGTTTGGCAACATTTTCTTACAATTTGCTTCCTACATAACTTTCTTAGATAACAAAGCCCTAATACGATCCAGCAAGGATTGTGATGTGCTAAAGCCAAAAAGTCTTACCTGGAACTGAATTCTGTGTAGTCTGCTGTAGCCAGATAACAGCAAACTCCTGATTTGTGGGGTGGATTGGTCTGCTTTTTAGGACTTGTGTAGTGTATTTTATGCTCTCTCTGCTTTATGTACCCCCACTGAGATTCAAACTCACAATGCAGTTTTGGATTTATTATTATTATTATACAGGATTTATATAGCGCCAACAGTTTGCTCAGTGCTTTACAATAATTTTGATTTGATTGGTTTCTGTGGGAAGCTTCTTTTTACGAGATCGCAAGAAGCCTACAAGCAGATACTGTATAACACTTTACTATAGCTCTATATACATTAAGATATAATTTAAATGTACGTTTGTTATTAAAGCTGTGTAAGAACCTACATTTGACTTAAGTTTAGCCTCTTACAGTCCTCTGTACTCAGGTTGGAAAATGAAAAGCAACACAAGGAACCAACTGGCTGTGCTGCAGTACTAATGGACTAACAAGGAACATGCTGATAGGAAGGGAGAGCAGAGACAGAGAGATAAGCTCAAAAGTCAAAAGCTTGTGAGATCTGTAAGTGTAATTTAAAGTATATGCATAGCCCAAACTTTTTTTTTTTTTTTTGGTATGGATAGAGTAGAGAAGGGTTAAAATGGCTGCCATTTTATATATATTCTTTATACCTCTGAGGTATTTTCCTTTCACTTTGTGTCTTAGAGACACAACAGAAAGTTAGAGGAAAATTACCTTCTTAGATGGTTGTTTGGAGAAAAGCTGTCCCCATCAGAAGATTTCCCTTCACCTCTTGGTGACAACAATAAGATTTTGGTTTTCCCCTGACTTTTTTTTTTCTTGGGGACAATGGTCACCAGCACAAACAGAGAAGACAGATCTCCCCAGTGGTAACAGCAATAGAACTTGACAGAGGGTACAACCATCTCGCGCTCTATTCAAACCAAAAAGCTTTTGTCTAGAGATACACATTGAAAGTATCATCAAAAAATTAAGTCTGCTGTCCTTCAAGACAGGACTGCACTATGTGGCAGAGCTATGTAAATCTTGGGACTGGGTGGAGGGAAATACAAATCAGTACATCCAGTCAATAATTTCACGACTACAAGGACTACTTGTTCAACGCAAAAAAGCTTGTAGGTTAGAGGAATGAAAAATAATGCCCCGTCTAGAGAGGACTGGTCCCAGGAACTGTGCAATAAGGCTTACAATCAGAAAGTCAGGTTAATTCACTGGCATCATTATGACTATCTGATTACTGCTCACTCCTGTCAGACAGTATTGCACTTCCAATGTAAACATGATTTAACATAGCAATTTCCTATAGACAGTTTTGCTGATTGCACACCTGCTCAGTCGAGAGGAGAAAGAAAACTTTCTAATTTGTTAACAGATACAGTAAAGTGCATATGAGCACACATGTTGTGAAGTGTGTCTTTTCCAGAAGTGTATCTGAGACCAGCAATCTGTTCCTAAATAACTCAGATTCATCAAAAAATATATATATTAATAAGAATACATTGTGTATAGTGATAGTTTTACTTACCTGATTTTGTGTTCCTATACAGGTATATGGCCATCATCCACCCCCTAAAACCAAGACTATCTGCCACTGCCACCAAGATAGTCATCTGTGTGATCTGGAGCTTCTCCTTCTGTATGGCATTTCCCCTGGGATACTACGCAGATGTCTACCCTATGCTGGGACGAGACATCTGCTATCTCAACTGGCCTGAATCTGAGGTGAACAGAAAGTATGAACAAGTGTGAGTATGCACATGATCCTGGAAACTGTCTTTAATTCTTGCTCGACCTTTGTCTTTATCATACTTGGAATTTTATGATTTATTCTGATGCACTGGGGTTTGTAAAGTTTACTTTGACTCTCTTGAATTTCCCATGAGTACATGGGGTCTACATTCAATTTCAGGAGCACAGGTCTTTGCTATCAAAGTGAGGTCCGAAATGTTCCAAAGAAATCTGAATATTGGGTTCATAGATGCAGATATACATGGAAGACAGGGGACTATTCAGGTCAGGTGATAAGTACGGCAGATTTATAGTGAAAATGTATCTTTATCTAGTAAAAACAATGGTTCCTGTTTCCAAGCAAATGTAAGAGCATGCTTTAGTTCAATTATGTGTTCATTCAAAAGTCATTATATCTATTACAAATGCTGCTACTATATCTACCTTGAACATTTTATTTGAACTTTAATTCAATACCCATCAGAAATCAAGGTGGAAATGGGAGTGTTAACCCTTTAAACCAATCAGCTGCTTCTGTAATAAATCATTCTGTCCTAACATGTTTCAGGCTTCAGAGGCTAGAGAGGAAAGATGTTTAGGCAAGTGACAGCAATATAGGGTTGAAGAATGGTTGATGCTCATGTATACTCCAATAAACTTTAGGTTGTTAACAGTGGTGTTGCTTTCTAGCTGTGCAGTGTGAACAGGGTATGGTAATTTGTGAGAGTAGCAGAACCAAATAAAAAATATTTTAGCATGTAAAACAGTTCACATATTTTATATGTATTTGAAGCATATTGTATTACGAAATACGCCATTTAAATGATCTTATGCATTAATAGTGGACACAATTTGTTGCCTGCAGAGCACAAATGCAACATTTAGACTGTGTCTATTGCAAGCCCTGTATAATTCCAAGCCACATGTGGGTTTGCAGCACACAGTGCATTCTACAATGCCAAATAAGTGCTTGGTGACCAGTAATGCCTGCATTGCATTCAATGGCTCAGTAAGGTGTACTTATGCTTGACTTTGTCTGAAGCAGAACTTTGCATAAAATAGCTTTGGGCTTCCAGGATACAGAGAAGGTAGTGGGTTTTTTTTTTATTTGGCTCAAGATACTAGACAGAATCTACAACAGTGCTATGTGAACTTTTTTTTGCCCTGTCCCAACTTTTTTGAGATGTGTTGCTACCATGAATTTCAAAATGATCTTATTTTGTTTCTTAAAATTGAACATTGTCTCAGTTTAAACATTCAATATGTTTTCTATTTTCTATTGTGAATAAAATATGGGTTTATGAGATTTGCAAATCATTGCATTCTGTTTTTTTATGTAGATTTTACACAGTGTCCCAGCTTTTTTGGAATTGGGATTGTAATATCAATGGGTAGGCTCAACCGACGGCTTGTATTTGAGTAATGGTACACTTTAAATTAGGGCTAAAACAACTTGATCGGACTTGATGTTTGCAGAAGAGGTAAGTATTTATCCTACATATTACAGGGTGCAGCTGCAGGGCCCGATCACACTTGTGCATTGCAGCAATGTGTAGTAAAAAAAAAACTTGCTCTAAGTACATTGCAGAGCCATTCATTGTGAGTTATGCTCATTTGCTAATCACTTATGGGGCATTATCAGCCCATTCATAATGAATGGGCTGCCTTAACCCAAGGCATTTTAAAGCAATGCAATGAGTCACTAAAGTGTGAATCATTCCTCATATATTTTTTTTTTAAGAACATGGACGCTTTAAGAAAACATCTCTTTTAGAGATGTTAATAAGAAATGCAATTTTAATAGCCACACATAATCATGATAAGTGTTGCCTTTTTACTGCCTACAAACACAATATTTTAGTCACACACTACAATGCCTTTAAAGCATGTTATCAGTATATTTCTTTATTACATGAACCACAAAGGTTTAGAGTGTAATTCCAGTCAAAACCTAACTAAGCTAAAATCTACTCCTACCCCCTTCTAAGCCTATTCTATCTACCCCGTAAAAGAAAAGATATCTATTTTTACCTATTCTGAAGTCGTTGCGGTCCAGTCACATGATTCAGTCCCAGCACCGGCTGCAGTATAGAGGGACAGTTGACAATGTGTGCCCCATAGTAGACCGCCATGTCAGAATAATGGGCCGGCCGCTCGGCTCTTCTTTACAGCAGAACCTTACCTGTTCCTCAAACCAGTGGTGTCCTCATGGTCTTCTCTCCCGGCGCCTGCATTTTTAGTGTGGACACGCGGCTGTGACAGCTTGCGGCTTCACAGCTGGGTGCCCACTGTGCATGCTCGAGAAGTGCTGCGCTTTGTGAATGGTCTGGCAGTCTTCTGTCACGTGTTCCAGAAGAATGGAGGGAGGGCAACTCCGCAGAAGTTGGAGCGGGTACCTGTCAAATTCAGGTACCCACTCCCCCCCCCTCCCAAAGGTCTACAGTCTCTGGTCATCCCCTGTACTGTGTCCGCAGTCCCTGGTCATCTCCTGTACTATGTCTGAAGTCTCTGGTCATCTCCTGTACTGTGTCCGCAGTCTCTTGTCATCTCCTGTACTGTGTCCGCAGTCTCTGGTAATTTCCTGTACTATGCAGTCTCTGGTCATCTCCTTTACTGTGTCCGCAGTCTCTGGTCATCTCCTGTACTGTGTCCGCAGTCTCTGGTCATCTCCTGTACTATGTCCGCAGTCTCTGGTCATCTCCTGTACTGTGTCCGCAGTCTCTGGTCATCTCCTGTACTGTGTCCGCAGTCTCTGGTCATCTCCTGTACTATGTACGCAGTCTCTGGTCATCTCCTGTACTATGTCTGCAGTCTCTGGTCATCTCCTGTACTGTGTCCGCAGTCGCTGGTCATCTCTTGTACTATATCCGCAGTCTCTGGTCATCTCCTGTACTATGTCTGCAGTCTCTGGTCATCTCCTGTACTATACTATGTCCGCAGTCTCTTGTCATCTCCTGTACTTTGTCCGCAGTCGCTGGTCATCTCTTGTACTATATCCGCAGTCTCTGGTCATCTCCTGTACTATGTCTGCAGTCTCTTGTCATCTCCTGTGTTGTGTCCACAGTTTCTGGTCATCTCCTGTACTGTGTCCGCAGTCACTGGTCATCTCCTGTACTATGTCTGCAGTCTCTGGTCATCTCCTGTACTGTGTCCGCAGTCTCTGGTCATCTCCTGTACTGTGTCAGCAGTCTCTGGTAATTTCCTGTACTATGTCTGCAGTCTCTGGTCATCTCCTTTACTGTGTCCGCAGTCTCTGGTCATCTCCTGTACTATGTCTGCAGTCTCTGGTCATCCCCTGTACTATGTCTGCAGTCTCTGGTCATCTCCTGTACTGTGTCCGCAGTCTCTTGTCATCTCCTGTACTTTGTCCGCAGTCGCTGGTCATCTCATGTACTATGTCTGCAGTCTCTGGTCATCTCCTGTACTATGTCTGCAGTCTCTGGTCATCTCCTGTACTGTGCCCGCAGTCTCTGGTCATCTCCTTTACTGTGTCCGCAGTCTCTGGTCATCTCCTGTACTGTGTCCGCAGTCTCTGGTCATCTCCTGTAGTATGTCCGCAGTCTCTGGTCATCTCCTGTAGAATGTCCGCAGTCTCTGATCAACTCCTGTAGTATGTCCGCAGTCTCTGATCAATTCCTGTAGTATGTCTGCAGTCTCTGGTCATCTCCTGTAGTATGTCCGCAGTCTCTGGTCATCTCCTGTACTGTGTCCGCAGTCTCTGGTCATCTCCTGTACTGTGTCCGCAGTCTCTGGTCATCTCCTTTACTGTGTCCGCAGTCTCTGGTCATCTCCTGTACTGTGTCCGCAGTCTCTGGTCATCCCTGTACTGTGTCCGCAGTCTCTGGTCATCTCCTGTACTGTGTCCGCAGTCTCTGGTCATCTCCTGTAGTATGTCCACAGTCTCAAATCAACTCCTGTAGTATGTCCGCAGTCTCTGGTCATCTCCTGTAGTATGTCCGAAGTCTCTGGTCATCTCCTGTAGTATGTCTGCAGTCTCTGGTCATCTCCTGTACTATGTCTGCAGTCTCTGGTTATTTCCTGTACTATGTCTGCAGTCCATTGGTTCAGAATATTTTTTTTCTTGTTTTCCTCCTCTAAAACCTAAATGCGTCTTATGGTCAGGTGCATCTTATGGAGTGAAAAATATGATATACATGTTTCTTTTTACAGAGTAGATAGAGTAGACTTAGAATGAGGGTTGGAATAGACTTAAGCTTAGTTAGGTTTTGATTGGAATTACACTTTAAATTTAAATACGAATTACAAATAATTAATTATGAGTTAGGTTACGCATACAAAGACAGCCAAAGTATTGCAGACACCCCATGAATATATTAGAAATCAAATGGAATGTTGGTAAACTGCAAATTGCCAAGTGGTACAGCTTCCTTTCACCCACAACCCATTGCAAGATATAACATCAATAACCTACGACTGCCCCAAATTTGACATAGTATTAACTCACAGGTGCTATATCTAGGTAACGTCTTCCAAGCTCATGTTATTTCAGAAGGTGTGCTGATTAAAAGATTTAAGGTGCCCAAGTTTCATCAGTCATTATGTTAAATTCTGTCTGTAAATGTCTTCTGTGTGAGAACAAAAACATCACCCATTGGTGCGATTGTTATTAAGTCCTCACTCTGTGCTCTTCCACAATACCCTTATCTGCAATTATCTGCTGGCCTCTCTCACTATGCTTCTAAAGAGAGGGATCCTGTCCAAGCATGCATCTTTACTAATGGCTCATTGAAAGGCAGGTTTGCTTATTGCTTTGAGATATTAAAGCAATAAATTACATTTCCTTCCTATTTGTTTGTCACCTAGCATCTACAGGTCTGTTTCCAGAGACTGGCCTGTAATGCCTTATAAATATGACATTTTTAATGGAAATAGATTCTGAAAGCAAGAGCTGGATTGTTCATATTTCAGACTGCATAGCATGTGTTATTAACTAGGCAACCCACAGCTGCAATCAGTGGTGGATTAGGTGTACCAAGGGCCCCAGGATGTTTTTAGTTCATATTATTTTCCCCCTTATCCAGAGATGAGCCCTGAAATTTAGTGGAATAAAGAATAAAGTGGCCTTGTCATCATAATTTTTTTTAAACACCTGTTAATAAAAAAAAAAAGATAAATGATTATGTATCTAACTCTCGATGACCTGGATTTTTTCTTTGTTGCTGAACTACAGTAAGGCCTTCTCTTATCTGATCATTTACAAACTGTTGTATACCAGGGCCCCTGTTACATACTATGGTTATGTCCGCTGCACCCTACATCATGTAGAAGCCAGGGATAGTTACCACAATGTGCGGATTGATGTGGCAATGTTGTGAAAGATCCTAAGGGCTTGTTCATGTGGTTCAGACCTTAGTGGCTCAGTTCACACAGAATTGTAGAAGGGTGTTCCAAATGATGTCTTCAGCATCCGATTCACAGCTACATTTTCCGAAGCCTTTAACAGAATGTTTTGCTTGGTATCTTTTTCTTGTTCTTTTGCGATATAAGTCAAGGAAGCCTAAAACTCTATAGTGTATTAATATTTGCTTTACCAAAAAGAAAAGGCGGCAGATACAACTGCAGGAAAAACAATCCATAACATGCAAAGTATAACAAAATATGCCTAAAACATGCACAATCTGAATATCTTCCTAGCAAATAAGCAGTTGCAATGTATGTGATGGGCATAAACTAAACAGTTACTTGTCCTGGATCTTTCTTTATGATGAAGTCATCTTCTAGGATCCAGGATCTTCTAGACTGCTTCCTGCTTCTACAAAGTCCTCAGCAAATCTCTCCAGAACAAATGTGTTCTTTGTTCATTAGCACATGGTTCCAAATCATCTTTCCCTCCACCTATTTCCTACTACATCATATCCTGCAGTGGACTTCCTTTGAGGAGTTCACAAACTAGTTCAACTGGTTAATTAGCATAGCAATAGGGGAGCCTTATCTTCCAAACACAACACGTGTAACTAAAACCTAACCATTTTATATCTAAGCTATGAAAATCACCAAATAAATAGCCATAGCAACACACAGGAATTCATGGATACTGTACATTCTACATGCAGTACCAAGAGATGCCCCTCCATGAACCTATTGGAATACCTCATCTATAGTAGATTTGCCCACCTATGGGTAAATATGATCAATCTGGTCATTTAGTGACCTTGATGAATGCACCAATGTGGCCCTCATATGACTGAATTCTCTGCCTTGGCATAAACATCCAATAATTACTGTTCTTCTCAGATATTTAGAGAAAAAATACACGTAGTCTGATTATTTTCAGATTAGGTCTAAAAAGAATTTATATGAATAGGAGCACACTGCATGGTGTAAGTGTAGTTTACATTTTAACAGCAGTTTGCAATACTATATAAACAGTTTAAAGCAAATTTTGCTCAGTTAGTTTGTAAGTTTGTATTCTAGCCTCATATAGTGAAATCAGACACTGCTCAATACATCACACAGCATACATTATTCAGTGTTCTCTCAAAGAAAGAGGGGTGACAATAAATCTGGAACAACTCTCTCTACAACCATCCAGTGGCTTTAGGTCCTGCTGGTGAACTTTACTAAGGCTATTATTCCTGGAAGCCCAATGAATTTGTGTCTTGACTGTTTAAAAGGTAGGCCGTAAATCAATGATTACCAAATTATGAGGTGTAGGGGTCTCAACACTGACTCCGAAATTGACCACTAAAAATATTTAGTTTATGTAATGCAACAGAAGACAGTCAGAGACCACAGACACACTGGAGGAGATGGTCAGAGACTGCAGACATACTGGAGGAGATGGTCAGAGACTGCAGACATACCGGAGGTGATAGACAGTGACTGCAGACATGCAGAAGATGTTATTGGAGACTGGAAACCTGCTTCAAAAGAAAGTCAGACTAAGGAAATGTTGAGTGAGACTGCTAGATATCATTGCTGTTACAGCCCCTTTCAAAATCAATGCTCCCACTTACATTATTGGGTTTTGCAAAGGCAAACACAGTCATTATGAGAAAAAATATAAGTGGAAATAGCGCCAAAAAGTGTTCTCATATAATCAATAACACAAGCTGCTAAACCTTACTCTTATAATAAAGGTTACAATAATAAAACAAAAAAAGGTAGCGCTATCAAATTAAATGTACAAATTAAACAGTGGTAAAATTAAACAGTGAAAAATGTAAATACAGTGATTGCCAATGAACTGCAGGTTGTACATCAAAGCCAAAAATACACCCTTGTAAAATCTCATAGTATTAAAATCTCAATAGGTCACTGAGGCACTCATACTGAATATTGGACAACCATAACTCTGACAACCTTTGTCAAGGTGAACAGGCTTGTTAGGCTGATGGTTGATAAGCTATAGACCTGGACCTGTCTGAATTCACATAGTGTGCCTGAATCTAGGTGAAACAGCTATTGCTGTAGCCACTCTTTTGAAGCTCTGTATTGATATTAATTTTGCATGTCAAATGTGAATTGGAATTTTTGCTTTTATAAGAGGCTAACAGCAAAAGTGATCTTTGTGAGAAATCTCCTTTAAAAGCAGTACCTCTAATATATCTGGTGATTATGTAATGTTCTAAGTCTTATAAATAGCTCATACATTATTATACCTCCAGCGTTTATCATTCTCACCATTGATGAAAACAAACATGTAAATTCTCAGTGACCCATGTCATGTACTCACTGTGTTCAATTCAGCCAGATTTATGAGTTATTATAAACAGCTCTTACATTGTCCATCCGGATCTACCTAAATCACTTATCCATGTCTTAAATTACACCTAATGTTCCTTTCACCTATCAGTTTATTGGAAAAAGTATTAGTCCGTCC